CTTCTCGACTTCCCCTAGGCCTAGGCTACTAAGCCTAGGCCCTACCTAAAACCTAAGCTTACTCTTACTTAGTAACTCAACATCCTCGACTTCCCCTTGCGGTGCACTTGCTTTGCCCCTTCCGTCAGCATCCTGGCGCCCTTGTTGAAATGTATATATATGTTCTTCATAATTGTCTGCAGTGTAGAGTGTCGCACATCCCATTTGCTGTAGGTGGTGCACCATGCTTCTCCTTGCTATATCTTGTACTCATCTTTCTTAATCAAGCCCCTTCTCTTTGGCCAAATGATCTCTCTCGCTACCTTCAACACCCTAAGCCCTAGCCATGGCTTCTTAGCCTAAGCTAGGTTTCTAACATGTTATCAGAGCTCGTTCTATCCTGGCTTGTGGGCCCATCCTTCACTTCCGCTGCTGTCCTGTCTGTCGCACGCCCCGTGGCGCGCGGCGTTTTTTTTTTCTTCCCGCCACGCGCCCTGGGCTGCGTGGCGGTTTTCTGCCCGCCACGCGCTCGGGGCGCGTGGCGATTTCTTGCTCGCTGCACACCCCGGGAGCGCGCGGCGGTTTTGTCGCCCGTCGTGGCGCCCCTGGGGCCCACGCGCTGTCCCCTCTCGTCGCCCGTCGTGGCGCCCTGGGGGCCCGTGCGTCGCCCCCCCCCTCCCGTCGCCCGTCGTGGCGCCCCGGGGGCCCGTGCGTCGCCCCCTCCCGTCGCCCGTCGTGGCACCCCGGGGGCCCGCGCGTCGCCCCCTCCCATCGCCCGTCGTGGCGCCCCGAGGGCCCGCGCGTCGCCCCCTACCGTCGCCCGTCGAGGCGCCCCAGGGACTTGCGCGCCGCCCCTTGATCCCGTGCGCCGTGGGGCTGCCTCCCCCCCTGCCCCTCCCCTTCTCCTTGCTCTCCCTCCTGCACGTGCAGCTATGGGGGTGGCGGGTGTGTAAGCCGTCCCCTGCTCCTCCTCCTCCTCCGTCTCCCACAGCTACAGCTGCCGCTGAGGGGGGTGGGTGTGTGGGAGCCGAGGGATTGGCGCTAGGGGGGGGTGCCGTGGGAGTGGAGCTAGGGGTGCATAGGGGGGTGTGTGAAAGGGGGTTTGCGACAGTGGGGGAGGGTTGAACGGAGGTAGCCGTTGTGGAGCCAGCAGCGCCAGTAGTTCGCGAAGGTCGTGTCCTTGCTCCGGTAGCCAGTGAGCCCGTTGCACCAATTGCCCGTGGGTGCGTTGCTCCAGTGAGTCAGTTACTCCCGTAGTCCGGTGTCGTCGAGCTTCGGTAGCCAGTGTGCCTATTGCTCCAGTCGCCCGTGTGCCAGCAGCTTCAGCCGCCGCCTCCTATCTCCTCTCCTGCCACTGTTCCTCCTCCTCCTCCTCATTTCGCCTCTTCTTCTGCTGCGCCATGCAGAGTCTACCACTTCAGGAGGTGTTCTGCACATGGTTCTCACTGCAATCAATTAGGGGGTGTGTTGAAATATATTTATATATGTTCTTCATAATTCTCTGCAGTCTAGAGTGTAGCACCGTCTGAATCAACTAGCAAGAATGGATGAACTAGAATGAATTTGGGTACAAATGTGAAACCCTAAAGGGGCTATACCCCATATTGGCTACCCCACTACAGCCTACACATATATTGCACATATATATGATTTGACACAACCCCATAGGCAAAGTGGGGGAGAGCAAGGGATCACACGACCAGTCAAGAAAAGCAAAGCAAGCTCAAGGTGGATCACAACGTCACCACACACACTGAGCACAAGCAAAGAGCCACAAGGCCAGTTCACACGCAGAGATATATATGCAGCAATAACAGCACAGTGATCACTACCTAGCAAGAGCAAGCAAGCAGGTATAGATATATAGATCACAGTACAAGCAAAGTCTACAGCAAGTACGGAAACGTAGGCACAAGGCCTAACAAAGTACAAAAGCGCTGATGATCACCTGACGGAAGCGCCTTGGTGAATATATCAGCAGTGTTGGCCCGAATGGCCACGTGAGCAAGACGAAGCTGACCCCGTTGCTGCAACTCTCGAGCCAGGAAGTAACGTAGAGCGATGTGCTTCGTTCTGTGCTCCAGTCTGTGCTCCTCACACAAGGCAATGGTGGCCTTGTTTTCGACGTACAAAATTGGAGGAGAACAAGGCCGCTCTCCCAAGTCAGTCAGCAGGTAGGTGAGCCAGCGTAACTCCTGTGCAGCCATGGGAGTGGCGTAGATCTCAGCCTCACAACTAGAGCTGAGAACAGAAGACGAGCATTTAGACCGCCAAGAAATAGAGCCGGAGCCAAGGCTGAAGGTGTAACCCTGTGACGAGCGCTGCGTAGCCAGGTCGTCAACCCAAGACGCGTCTGAGTGTCCAGTGAGGACAATGTTACCACGTTCTCCCAGCACAAGCCCCATGCCTGATGTACTGCACAGGTAGCGTAGTACCCTCTTAGCAGCATCCATTTGCACCTTTCGGTGCCTACCAGGAGCCACGTAGCGAGCCAAGAGGCCAAGAGAGTACGCGAGGTCAGGTCGAGTGCACGTCATCAGGTACATGAGGCAGCCCACTAGCTCTAGGTAAGGACCACTCGGCTCTACGGACTCGTCCGAAGGTGGAGTTGAGAGCGAGTGACCTATAGCCAGAGGAGTGGACTGTGGGGAGGACCAGGTGAAGCCGAAGCGCTGAAGGACCTGCTGCACCATGTGTGACTGAGTCAGGGTGATGGTGCGCCGTGCTCTGTCCCGGGTGATCTGCAAGCTAAGGTAACTGCGCAGCTCACCCAGGTCTGTGCACGTGTGTCTCTTTTGCAGCTCCGACTTCACCAGGGCAAGAGCCTCAGTGTCAGCAGTGGCAAAGACCAAGTCGTCAACGTATACGAGGATGTAGAACGGCGGCAGCGAAGTGTCGGTGCGCAGAAACAGCGATGGGTCAGTAGTCGAATGAGCAGACCCAAGAGCCGCAAGTGTAGTCCTTAGTGTGTCGTGCCACTCACAAGGCGCCTGGCGGAGACCGTAGACTTGCCGCCGGAGGCTCCACTGGGTACCAAGAGGGAACGACCCAGTGAAGCCAGGTAGGCGGCGCAGCCAGATCTCCTCGTGCAGGCTGCCCCGTAAGAAGGCTGTGCTGAAGTCAAGAGAGTGAAGCTCGTAGTCACACTGAGCGGCAATGTGCAGCAGCACTCAAAGACTGGTCATCTTTGGGGTGGGGGAGAAGGTCTGGAAGAAGTCAACTCCCTCCCGCGGACTAAAGCCTCGAGCAACGTAACAAGCCTTGAAGACAGGCGGAGAACCCGGCGGTCGCTTCACCGTGAAAATCCACATGTCATCGACGATGTTCGCCCCGCGAGGGGAAACCTCATCGACGTAGGTGCCTGTGGACTTCCACGATGCCATCTCTCCATGGCTTTCTGCCAGTGAGAGGAGTACTCACCCGCGATCACCTCAGCGTAAGAGCGCGGGGTCGGGATGTCTGGTGCATCCGGGTCTCCCTTAGGGGCAAGCAGCATGGCGACGAGATGAGGCGCAGCAGCTGCAAGACACTCAAGGTCCTCCTGCCTGTCCTCAAGGAGGTCCGTGCCAAGAGCACACTCACTCCTGACGGACAGAGGACAGACAGACTCAAAGTCAGCAACAAGACTAGCGGCGTAGTCTAGGCGACATGCAGCAGCAAAGTCGACAAGCTCAGCAATTAAGGCTGACGCAGCAGTGGACTCAAGCGAAGGGTCAGTGAAAATAGTGGCAAGCAGACGCGTGACAGTAAGGTGAGCAGCACGAGTGCGGTCAGACTTAGGGTTTGGAACGTCAGGCAGAGAAGACGCAGGAGGGGACAGTAGGGGGACACGCTGTGGAACAGAGGAATGACGAAGGGCCATGAGGTGCATGCCGGGGACAGCCGGCGGACGCGGACGAGGAACACGACGACCAGTACGACCAGTGCGAACACGTGAGACAGGACGAGACGCAGGCTCACGACGCTCAGTAAGACCGCCTGCCTGTTCAGTGTAAGGAGAAGGAGTAGGCAGCTGAGAGCCAGGCTGTAACGAAAGACCAGTAGAAGACGGGAGGCTAAGAACTTGGCGAAGCACGGAGTCAGGCGGTGGCAGAGACGAAGGAGACGCCGGAGCGAAGAACAGTCGCGGCTGGGCAGTGCCACCAGCACTAGTAGCCCCAGCACCTCCAATAGCTCCAGAACCTCCAGCGCCAGCACCTCCAGTAGCTCCAGAACCTCCAGGTCCAGCACCCCCAGCGCCAGTACCTCCAAAAGCTCCAGAACCTCTAGTGCCAGCACCTCTAGGACTAGCGCCACCAGCAGCAGCACCCCAAGAACCAGCACCTCCAGCCCCAGGGGCTCCAGCCTCAGTGTCTCCAGCAGCAGCACCCCCAGAACCGGCACCTCCAGCTCCAGGGTTGACAGCAGCACCTCCAGGTCTAGCAGTACCTCCAGCCCCAGCAGCTCCAGTACCTCCAGTACGAGCACCTCCGGGACCAGCGACTTCAGTAACTTCGGTAGACAAAGTACCACCAGTCTTAGCACGCACTGACCCATAATCCCTAGACCCGGCACCCCCAGCTCTAGCAGCTCGACCCTGACGGCTAACGTACCACTCACGCAGCTGCTGTGGCAAGAGAGGCACACGCCGACAAGAGGGCTGCAGCGAGGCACCACCAGAGCGACTACGTAGGCGGCCGCTCCAAGGAGACTGCTCACCAGACGCCCAAGTACCCCCAGGCACAGCACCCTCAGACTCGGCACTCCCACGCTCAGCACCTCCAAGCTCCGCACCCGCAGGCTCCGCACCCCCAGGCTCAGCACCCCCAAGCTCCGCACCCCTAGGCTTAGCACCTCCAAGCTCCGCACCCCCAGGCTTAGCACTTCCAGGCTCCGCACCCCCAGGCTCAGCACCCCCAGGCTCCGCACCCCCACGCTCAGCACCCCTAGGCTCCGCACCCCTAGGCTCAGCACCCCAAGAAGCAGCACCCCGAGCAGGACCACCCCCAGCAGGACCTGAGTCACCAGTGACCTCAACCGGCTCAGTCACCGGAGGAGGGTCTACGTGAGACACACCTGAAGGAGCAGGACTTGGAGCGGGGAAGGGGTCTACCTGGGGAGGACCTGGAGCGAGAAAGAGCGGCGGGGGGGGGGAGAGGGGCAGTGCGGTAGGGGAAGAGACGGTAAAAGGGGACCGACTCGTCAAAGGTGACGTCCTGAGACGCAAAGACACGACGCGAGGCGGGGTCGTAAAACTGCCAACCAGGCGCGTCAGGGGGGAAACCAAGGAAGACGTAGGGAATGGCGCGAGAGGAGAGCTTGTCCGCACTGGTATCGCGGACAAAGGCACGAGCACCCCAGACCCGGAACCGCGACGCATCGCCAACCTCCCCCGTCCAACGTAGTGTGGGCGAAGTCGTCGGAACGGAGACACGGGGCTAGAGGTTGAGCTGTTGCACAGCGTACCGGACCACATACGGCCACAGAAAATGGGGGGCAACCACATGGAACATGGAGGTATGAGCGACCTCCATGACTAAGCCAATGTGGCGCTCAGCAACCCCATTCTGCTTCGGAGAGGCCGAAAGCGCGAATGTCTGGCGGATGTCGTGCTCCTCACAGTAGGCTCGCAAGAGGTCAGAGGAGAACTCTCCACCTTTGTCAGAGTGCAGACACAGGACAGGAAAGTCCTACTCGAACCGCTTGTGGAGCTGGAGACAAACAGGGCGGATCTAAGGGATCGAAACAGCAGGGACATCCCCCTTGCGCTGCAAGGGGAAGACCGTGGTGTAACGCGTGTAATTGTCGACTACCAGCAGGAAGTACCGCTTGTGGCCTTGTCCACGGACGCGGGCTGGGCCCCACACGTCCAGGAGGAGAATCTGTAGTGGAGCCTCTATGGGAGGGAACGAGGAGGAGTGAGGAGCGGCGCCCTGCCGCCCCTCGACGCAAGGAATGCAGGGTGGTGCAGGCGAGGGAGGGAGGGAGGGCAGAGACCTTGGAAGACCAGAGACCAGTAGGCGACAGTGCATGCCACGAAGGCGAGGCAAGGAGGGGTGACCAAGGCGGTGGTGCCAAAGGAGAGTATGGTGCGACAGGCGGCGACACTCACACTGGGTAGCTACCTGAGCGGACGCGTACAACTGAGGAGACAAGGGGGTGTAGCGTGACGTAGTGGTGAGGGTGTACGGACTGGACCCAGGCGCACGGGTGAACGTGGCCAGGTGGCAGCCAGTCCGAGAGCACGTGCAGATCGCCACGCGCTGTCCTCAAGGAGTAAAGGTATCAACCCAATGATCCTGATGGACTGCATTGCTCACCAGGTTCGTAGAGAACGAGGGGAGGTGGAGACCAGACAGCTCACCAAACGGGACCACCGGACACGGAAGCACAGTAGAGGAATGTGCAAGCACTGGGCCCCCAGAGGGGTCAGCCCGTGAGACAGGGACAAGCGTAGGGAGGGGAGTGACTGTGGTACTGTCGCGAAAGAAACAGCGAGAAGCACCAGAGTCAAGTGTAAAGGTGTGCAAGGCCTGAGTGGACGCAGTACCAGGGAGAGCAGACTCACTAACACCTAGGGCTGCAGGCTCTACACTTGTGTCTATACCTGGGTCAGGCGGCACACACAAGTAGCAGTCTTCCTCAGCACTAACAGTCAATGCATACATGGCAGCAAGAATAGCATCATAGTGAACATCAAAGATAGGAACATCACGCCTAAGCAAGTCTGCCTAGTTGGGGAACTCAATAGCCTCAGGAAACTTGGCGCGCCAGGCGTCGCTAAGCCGAGCGAAGTAGCGGTACTCAGTGTGAAAACCGTTGCATGGGCGACCAGCGCGGGGACCTGCGCGAATGATATAGAGGCAGCGACCAGGACCCCCAGACGCCCCACGCTGAGCGTACCAGTCCTGAAGTTGCTTAGACGTGGGGGTCTGGCGCTGACGCTGCTGCGGCTGCTGCTACTGCTGCTGCTGCCCTTGGCCACCACTGGAGCCCCCCTTCTAGCCGGTTCCACTCCAGCCCCCACCACCGCTGCCACCACCACTCCCTCCTCCCCCACTACCGTCGCTGCCACCGCCACTGCTCCCGGTACCACCGCCATCCCCACCACCACCTCCACCCCCACGACCACCCCCACCACCTCCACCTCCCCCACCGCCTCCACCACCGCCCCCTCCACCGCCACCTCCACCTCCCCTACCACCCCTGTTGCCCCTGGCGCTGCGGCGCTTCCCACTAGGAGTGGAAGCAACCCCGACCTCCTCAACACCAAGGTAGTCGACAGCAGCAGCAGCAGAGGCGTAGGAGGGGGGCAAGAGGGGAGGGGGAGCACCCCTCAAAGAGGGGAGTGCGAGGAGCGCCACGAGCAGCACCTACAGCAAGAATGTTCTTTTCGGCTGTTAGGAGGTGCTTCTCGAAGTCGTCGAGAGTGAGAGAATGGGGGTCTAGGGCGATGAAGTGGTCCCTGACTGAGCGAAGAGTGTCAGGGAGGCGGGTGATGAGGAAGTAGAGAGTAAAGTACATCGGGGGGTGATTCTCGACGAGGAACTCGGCTGGAAGGGCGGCACGAAGGCGAGCGTCAGTTGCGCGAAGGTGAGAGATGAGGTCATCAGCGGTGGTAAACGAGGACAGGTCGGGGAACAGGTAGGGTAGCATAAGACGACCTGGGGTTGCCGTAGCTAGGGAAGAGTAGAAGGCAACTACAGCCTCATACAGTGCCTTAGCAATCTTGTGCTGACTAAAGTGCGCGCGCTCAGTGATCGGCAGATGGTTGCGAATAGCGAGGCGCGCAGCAGCATCACGAGTCTGCCACTGTGAGCGGTCAAAAGCGGCAGCAGTGTCAGCAGGAGCAACGGAAGTGCCAGACGCGTGATCGAACAGTGAAACTCCGTCTTTGGCATTAGTCATAAGAAACAGTTGCAGGTCGTCGAGCCAAGTGGCAAACTCTATCGGGCGACCGTCAGGATCGAAAGCGAGGACATTTAGAGTCGCCATGATTGCAGCGCAGGCAAGAGTAGCATGCAGGCAGCAAAGCAGAGTGCAGGCCAGGAGAAGCTGCGCGCAAGGCTGCAGTGGCGGCGCACGAGCTGCTGTGGCGGCGCGCAAGTGGCTAGGGCGGCGCGCAGGACAGCCGCGAGGCGCGCGCAGGCTGCTGAAGCGGCGCAGGGTGGGTAGGGCAGCGCTTAGGGCAGCACCGGCAGGCGGCGCAGGCTCCTAAGGCGGCGCGCGGGGCAGAAGCGAGCCGCGCGCGGGCTCCTAAGGCGGCGCGCGGGGCAGCAGCGGGCCGTGCGCGGGCTCCTAAGGCGGCGTGCGGGGCAACTGCGGGTCGCGCGCGGGGCAAAAGCAGGTCGCGCGCGGGGCAACAGCCGGTCCCGCGCGGGCTCCTAAGGCAACGCGCGGGGCAGCAGCGGGCCGCGCGCGGGCTCCTTAGGCGGCGCGCGGGGCAGCAGCAGGCTGCGCGCGGGTAGCCTGTGCGGCGCGCAGGGCAGGAGCAGGCGGCGCGCTTGGGACTAGGTTAGCGCGCGCAAGCAAGGCAGAGGCGCGCGCGGGTAGCGCAGCGCAGGCAAGGCAGGGCGCGCGCGGGCAGTGCTGCGCAGGCACGACGTGGGGCAGCTCAATAACTGCAACGGTAGGTGGGCCCTAAAAAAACAATCGGTCCTACGGACCTACTGCTCTGATACCATGTCAGAATCAACTAGCAAGAATGGATAAACTAGAATGAAGTTGGGTACAAATGTGAAACCCTAAAGGGGATATACCCCATATTGGCTACCCCACTACAGCCTACACATATATTGCACATATATATAATTTGACAAGCACATCCCATTTGCTGCATGTGGTGCACTATGCTTCTCCTTGCAATATCTTGTACTCATCTTTCTTAATCAAGCCCCTTCTCTTTGGCCAAATCATCTCGCTCGCTACCTTCAACACCCTAAACCCTAGCCATGGCTTCTTAGCCTAAGCTAGGTTTCTAACAGCCCTTCCCCTGGTGTGCACGTGTCCCTGCGAGTGGCGCTGGACTGCCGCACATGCTGCAAGCCCTTGCCTGTGGTGCAGCCGCAGCAGGGCAGGCAGGTGGGGCGCTGTAGCCCGGCTCTTGTCTCGTCACCACCCTGCTGTTTGTGGCCCTTCTCCTCCCATGCTGTGTATACATCCTCCCTCCCCTTCTCCTTTCTCCCCTAGCCCTTGGGTATGGGATCGTACCAACACCCCTGGTTTTTTCCACGCCGTTAGCTTTTCTCGCCCACCTCATTCAATTTCTCTGCCCTGTTACAGCCTTCACGAAGCCTTTGCTGGTCCCTCCCTCCACCCGCCCTTTCTCCTTCTCCTGCTTGCTCCTCTGCCCCTCTCCCTCATTCCCGCGTGTGCTATGTCTTGCCCCTGTTGACTCTGCTCCCATCACCACTGAGTCTGCTCCCATCACCACTAACTCTGCTTGCATCCTAGATAGGGCTTAGGGTGTGTGCATCAGGCGTGAACAGCCACCAGCGGTGGTGCTCTGTGTGCTGCTCACGATCCCTCTCTTCCTTCCTTCCCGCATCCCTCCACGCCCCACCATTGCCTCTGCTCCAATCTGTTGTCCCCTATTTCCTGTTTCCTCCCATCCGTTGTTGTCTCCCTTCTCACTACTTTTCCTGTGTCCCGCCCTCCCTCTGCCAGACCCATGAGTGCAAGCAGCAGGCGGAGGGGAACATGTCAGAATGTGATATTTGTCTAGCCTGCAGAGGGGTACTCCATAGTGAGTACAGCCCTGTTAGGGTTTGCTATATTTACTCAACTACTTGCTAGTGAAATCCCTTCTCCTCCTTTGCCTATTCTCTCTTGCCTAGCTAGCTAAACCCTAGCTATGGTTCCTTCATTCTAACTACTATTTTGACATGCTATCAGAGCGGTTACGCTCCTGGCCTGTGGGCCCACCGTTAGCTTCCGCTGCTGTCCTGTTTGTCGCGCGCCCCGTGGCGCGCAACATTTTTTCTTCCCGCCACGCGCTTGGGGCGCATGGCGGTTTTCTGCCCGCCGCGCGCTCGGGGCACGCGGCAGTTTTCTGCCCGCCGTGCGCCCCGAGGCGTGCGGCGGTTTCCTGCCCCGTCGACCAGCGCGTCGCCCCCCCGTCGTCCGTCGAAGCGCCCCCGGGGACCTGCGCGTCGCCCCCCGTCACCCGTCGAAGCGCCCCTGGGACCCGCGCGCGGCCTCTGCCATCCCGGCGCGCCACCCCGTGGGACCCGTGCGCCGCCCCCGTAGACCTGTGCGTCGCCCTGCGCCCCCCCCCCCCCCTCCCCGCACACCTGAGTTCGCTTACCGCACACCCGAGTTCGCTTCCGGCACGCTTATGCACGCTTCGTGCACACCTGAGCTCGCTTACCGCACACTCAGGGTATGGGGGTGGCGGGTGTGTGAGCTGTCCCCTGCTCCTCCTCCTCCTCTGTCTCCCACTGCTGCAGCTGCTGCTGAGGGGGGTGGGTGTGTGGGAGCCAAGGGAGTGGTGCTAGGGGGGTGACGTGGGAGTGGAGCTAGGGGTGCAGCAAGGGGTGTGTGAAAGGGGTGTGGGACAGCTGGGGGAAGTTGAGTGGAGGCAGCCGTCTTGTCGTCCGCAGCGCCTGTAGTCAGGGGTTTAGCCTGGTAGCCCAGAGAGCCAACTGTGCCTGTCGCCGTGTAGTCCGGGGCTCTGCGCCTGGTAGCCACAGTCTGCGCGCTCCTGGTAGCACAGAGAGCTGGCTGCGCCTGTCGCCGTGTAGTCCGGGGCTCTGCACCTGGTAGCCACAGTGCTGCGCGCTCCTGTTGCCCGTATGTCTGCAGCTTCAGCCGTCGCCTCCCATCTTCTCGCCCCCTACAGTTTCTCCTCCTCCTCACTTGCCCTCTGTGATAGCCTCTAGCTTTGCTTATCATTGTGAACTATTGCCCTGCCTGCTCATTGTGCTGATTATACCCCACTTTGACTATGGGGGTGTGTCAGAATGTGATATTTGTCTAGCCTGCAGTAGGGTACTCCATAGTGAGTACAACCCTGTTAGGGTTTGCTATATGTACTCAACTGCTTGCTAGTGAAATCCCTTCTCCTCTTTTGCCTATTCTCTCTTGCCTAGCTAGCTAAACCCTAGCTATGGCTCCTTCATTCTAACTACTATTACGACAGAACGATTGTCAGAATGTGATGTTTGTGTAGCCTGCACTGGGGTACTCTATAGCGAGTACGGCCCATATTAGGGTTTGCTATATATACTCAACTACATGCTAGTGAAACCCCTTTTTCCTGTTTCTCGATTCTGCCTAGGGTTTTAACATGCTATCAGAGCAGATCGACCCTCCTGGGTCGATCCTGTGGGTGGGCCCCACCCGATGCTTCCGCTGCTCTACTGCCTACAGCGCGCCCCGGGCGCGCGCCGTATTCTTCCTGCCGTGCGCTCGGAGTGCGCGGCGTTTTTTCTTCCCGCCACGCGCTCGGGGCGCGCGGCGGTTTTCTGCCCTGCCCGCCGCGCACCCGGTTTCCTGATCCGGTGACCCGCGCGTCGCCCCCCGTCGCCCGACGCGGCCCGCGCGACCTGCGACAGGCCCGCGCTCGGCCCGTACAGCCTGCGCGCGGCCCGTACGGCCTGCGCCAGGCCAGAGCGCGGCCTGTACGGGCTGCGCCAGGCCCGCGCGCAGCTCGGGCAGCCAGCGCGCGGTTCGTTAGGCCTGCGCCAGGCCCGTGAGCGGCCCGTACCTTCTCCCCCGAGCCTCTGATTGCGCCCCACCCCCGCTGCTGCCCACGCTCCTGTGTTAGGGTTTGGGGATGGAGGGTATGGGGGTGCCGTGTGTGTGAGCCGTCCCCTTCTCCTCCTCCTCCTCCTCCATCTCCCACTGCTGCAGTTGCCGATGAGGGGGGTGCATCTGTTGGAGCCGTCGGAGTGGTTCGAGGGGGGTGGCGTGTGAGCGGTGCTGGTGGTTCAGCAGGGAGTGTGTGAAAGGAGTGTGGGACAGTTGGGGGAGGATGACCAGGGGTAGTCGTCTTGTCGTCCGCAGCGCCTGAAGTCTAGAGAGCCACGACCCCTTGTGGCCTGAGTAGTCTGGGGCTCTGCGCCCGGTAGCCACAGTGTGAGCACTCCTGGTAGCCCAGAGAGCCACGACCCCCTGTAGCCTGAGTAGTCCGGGGCTTTGCGCCCGGTAGCCACAGTGTGAGCACTCGTGGGAGCACAGAAAGTCAGCTGCGCCTGTCGCCGTGTAGTCCGGGTTTAGCCTGGTAGCGATAGTTCTGCGCATTCCTGTTATCCGTGTGTCTGCAGCTTCAGCCGTCGTCTCGCATCTCCTCGCCCTCACAGTTTCTCCTCCTCACTTGCTCTCTGTGATAGCCTCTTGTTTTGCTTATAATTGTGAACTACTGCTCTGCCTGCTTGTTGTATTGATTGTACCCCACTTTGACCATGGGGGTGTGTCAGAATGTGATGTTTGTGTAGCCTGCAGTGGGGTACTCTATAGCGAGTACAGCCCAAATTAGGGTTTGTTATATGTACTCAACTGCATGCTAGTGAAACCCCTCTTTCCTGTTTCTCGATTCTGCCTAGTGTTTTAACAACGATGAGTTGGAGCAGCTGCTGAGGAGCGCCCCTCCTCCACTCGATTCAGCACCCTGGCAGAGCTGATTTGAATGACCACCCGACTGCCCGAGCACTTGAAAGTGCCTTGTCGTTGACTCAGCAGCATCCTGGCACACCTGATCCAAAACAGCTGCACAATAAAAGTTTGAGAGTGCCTCATTATTGACTTGGCATCCCGGCAAAAATGAGTTTGTCAGCAGTAAGTTGTGGTGCGGAGGGGAGGGTTTTTTTGTCATCCCGGCAGGGCTGTTTGGAACAGGCAGCCAGGGAGGGCACCATAAGCAGCTCAAGCAGGGCGAACCTACATGTGCCAGCTGAATGTGCCTCATTTGGCTCCGCATCTCTGCCGTTATGAAACCGGCATGGAGGTGCCTTGAGGGTGAATAAACCACCCCCCCTCGCACTGTTTCTGAATAAACCAAGGGTACGTTCCCTGCTTATGTAAGTTGGGGAAGCTCTGGTACCCTGCACTGCATCTGAGGTGAAATGTGAAATTTGGCCATTGCCCTGCTTCTCCTTTGCATGAGTGCTTCTCAAACTGAACCCAACCTGCCTGTCGTGCAGGCCACCTGCTTATTCTGGCACATTACCGGTAGTGGTCACCATGTTGGAGCGCACCAGACTTTGTCGGGCACATCTGCCAGGATGCGTGCTGCTCTTTTGTCTGCATGAAGACAAAACAAATCTTTCATCCAGCGCAGCAGGGGCATGTATCTCCTCTCAACGCAACAACACTTTACAGTTACCCACTCAAGTAGCTAAGCAGGAGGTTTGTATCACTAATGTATCCTCCTTACCCCTTCACAAAGTACATCTAAAATGCATCAAGTCATCCCCAACCTAACCTAACCTAACACGGCACCTACATGACCGTGCCTCGCTCCCACAGCTCTGGGTCGCCTGGAGTGTGCCAGGTGAGCGATCCAGTGAAGCGCAGTGCCATGAGGCTGGCAGAGCTCTCAACACACAACGTCTTCAGAGGCCACCCTGCTGCTGAGCACGCCTCTGATTCACCTCTGCTGCCTCCTGCACCTGCTGCTGCAGCTGCTCTGCTGAGTGCCCTTCTGGGTCTCTCCCGGCTTATTTGGGGAAGGGCAGGGACCGCCACGATCTGGATAGCCTCAATTGTCTTCTTCTGGAACTCCATCTGCGCACACAGCTGCTCCACGCCTGTAAGAAGTGGCATGAGGAAAGAGGCAAGGGGGAGAGGAGGGGAAAGGAGACCAGAGATGAGTGGAGGCAGAGGAAGGACATTGCAAGATGCAAGACGGAACGGTTTGTATGAAGTGTGGAGTGGGGGGGAACACCCCCCTCTATATGTATGTGCAGTCATAAACGTGAATCACCCGCATTGAATATGTGGTTTCACTCACTCTCAAGGTTGAGGCACATGGTTGACTCGCTCGCCCAATCAGATTCCGTTCCGCCCTCCTCTTCCTCCCCTGCGTCCCCTCCCCTGTTGCCTTCCTCCGCCTCTCCCCCATGGCTGCCGCCCCACCCGTCGCTCACGCTGCTAGCCACGCAGCTGGCTGTGTCGCTGACGTCATCCATGACCACTCCTCTGTCCCCTTCTCTTTCCACCTCGTCCGTCCTTTCCGCCGCCTTCTCCTCCGCCTCCTCCTGACGTGACGCCGCCAGGGGAGGAGCGCGATTCGCAATACCACCCCAAGCAGCCACCAAACCGGCGCCACGTGGCATGTTTCTGCTTGGCATCGAGGCGCACCGGTGTCTCGCCAACTCTCTTTCCGCCTGCCCCTCCGCCCCCATGGTGGTTCGCCCGTCCGCCCGTCCACAAAAGCTCACGCTGCGGAACCCCATTGGCGCGGGCCGCGCGGCATCTGCGGCGGCGCGCTTCGCGGCAAAGTCCGACTCGGAGCTCCTCCGAGCGGTTACAGTCGCGGGTTTTGCGACGATCGCGGCGGTGTTAGTATCGCCCAGGCTGGAGGTTGACGGCTCGCCGCATTCCACGCTGCCTGCACTCGACACGCTGCGGCTGCTGTTACCAGTGATCACAAGGCGGTTCGACTCCGGATAATCGTAGTCTCCTCCAAAGCCGCGCTCTTCAGGTGCAAATCCTCCAGCGGCGGATTCGGTGGCGATCGGCGGGCGCGGGGAGGAGGGAGGGAGCGAGGAGAGGGATGAGCGCGGCTTAGCGCCGCGGGCGAGTTGGCTGGAGGGGGACGAGGCCGCGTTGGGGGAGGTGACGAATCCCAAGGGCGTGTCAGGCGACGCGCATCGGGAGGTCTGTGCGGCGGCGCGAACAACCTCTGGGCGTTGAGCGGGGAGGATGAACCACTGCGCTTGCTGCGCCGTCATTGCCGGCGCCGGAGCTGCTGTATTGTCCGTTGATCGCGAGCTCTCCTCATCGCACGGGTATGCCGCATTAGGCAGCGGCGTGTGATCAGGAGCCGTGGTTGGTCGTGCGGGCCTGCCGAAGGTGGTCCCCGGCGAGCGGCGCGGGCTGTTGGAAAGCGCGCAGAAGTCGAAGGGGCACGGGGAGCGCGGGCGGGGTAGCGACGGTCGCGGGGATCTCGCGGGGGGCCGGGAGGCGGACCGCGGTTTGGCGGTGGAGTGATGGGAGAAGAGTGGGAGGACGGAGAACGACGTTGGCGAGGAGCAGGACGACGCGTCGTCGCCTGGATTGCTGGACACGTCAGATGGAATGCTAAGCGGCGGCGCGTTGAACGGCTTCCTTGCGTCCAGGGCGCGAATGGTGCACTGCTGCTGCAGCGGCGGCAGCGGATCGCGCCGGCCCTTGTCGCAACCGCGGATTGGCGAGGGTTGTTGAGGCCGCGGCTTGCTTGCGAGGTCTACGGCGAGCTTCGCGCCGAATGCGATCGGAAACGACGGTCGATCCCGTGACGGGGCCTGTGGGAAAACGACTCCTGGCCCCATTGGTACGCTCTGCCTGAGATCACGCTCTCGTGACGATTTTGACGTTACACTCCTGGCCACTAAAGCTAACGCCAACGCAAGGCAGAGGTTCTAGCGCGACAGGTGAGACGTCGCGATCAGTAGCCGGAACTGTACGAAGGCTGTCCTCTACATGAGTGGAGTGCTGCTGTGCTGAAAGATCTCGAGACAGAAAACAGTACGGCTTCAGTGTCCGAAGAGGAGTGAGATAATCTGGAAGGAAAAGCCGTCTACCTGGAGGTATGGGACAGATCCAAAGACAGGTGGTGGTTTTCGGTTGAGATTCGAGAAGAGCAGCAGAGAACAGCAGACAACCAGAATGCTGCTGTCGCAGACCGAAGAAGCAAGCACACGGAATAGGGGCGGGGCAGGCAGGGGCTGGGGAAGGGAGGGATGAAGGATGTCGCTTGCTTGCAATTGCAACTCTTAATCGCGTGTTGCTGCTGGTTGTTCTTCACTTGCTGTTGTGGTTGGATGGATCTGGCAGCAGGCAAGTGTGGGATGGGAATTTGGGAAACGAACATGGACGCCCTGGATTGGATTGGTGGATTGGATGGAAGAACTGTCACAGGCAGGAACTCGTGGTGCTGCTGGCACTGGTGCTGCAGCAGGTGGATAGAAACTGGGTGAGGTACACAAGCGTTCATCATGACACGCATGTGGAGTGTCGAGTAGGAGAAAATTTCTTCCAAAATCCCACTAAAAGGGATCTCTTTAGACTTGTTGCGACCCAAAGAGGTCGGGTCAGCCACCCCCGATCCATCATTTCTAGGACGACTGCATTGCGGGTCTAGCCGACCAGATCGACCCGACTGTGTCTGGTTGGGTCTGCCCGAACCGGGTCGACGAGGTTGGGTCGACCAGGTCGACCAGACCCAAGCTGACAGGCTTGCGACAAGTTACTTAAGCTAGCGAATTGTATTTCTCTCGCAAACAAATCGCCTTGAGATCGTGTACAAATATCAGATCTAGCGAGGCAAAGCTTCAGCGTAACCATGCGTTCAGCGAGTTTTGGAAACTCGTCATAGCTCGCCTAGCTTGCAGGGAAGCCGGATAGCAATTTTGCTGTGTATGTGCTTCGAGGGTATATCAAAATTTCTTAGAAATTCCTCGACGAACCGAGCCGCGATGCACGGGTCGACCAGCTCGACCCGACCCAACCCCACCTTTTTGGGTCGCAACACGTCGTTACCCTTAGGGATCTCTTCCGCTTCAGTATTCCACCCCTAGTGGGGTGGGGGTGGGGGGGGTGGGGGGGGGGGGGGGGGGGGACATTTTTAGGATCTAGCCTTTCTTCGAATTGTGGCTGAGCTCATTCCGAAACCCTGCATAGCAAATTTAAAACTGATTTCCAGATAACGCGTGCACCTCCAGAAAGATTAGTGGGGGCTAAGACATACCAGGGTGGTGAGGAGCGCGACAGGGAAGTATGCTGCGTAGTTCGTAAACAAGCTCTTCCAGGGTCGACCTACAATCCAACCAGTGAGATACACAACCAGTCTGTTCTTACTAGCCACCCTTATAAACCGGGTAATTGAGGCAACCATACTCGAAGAAGAACACCCTCCTAAAGGCTGCCTGCCACATCAGCTTTCGCAACGCACATCTAAACAAATCAGAAGGGTGTCGTTTTTCGATTGGCAAATTGTCTCTTGCGCCTGCTTCGGGGGTCAGTTGCAAAGCGACCAGCATCGAATGGGCGTTTATGACCGCGTCGCAAGCGTGCCGTATGTGGCGACTCTCGCTTGAAGAAGATCCGAATGATGGCAATGTGGAAAGAGGAACTGGCAACCACAGAGTTGAAGATATCTGCGGGACTGACAAACAACTCCGAGAACCGTGGGGCTTGCATTGCAATGGGCCACTTGTCAAAGAGGATGGCTGGTGTGCCTGTGGCTTGTCCCTCTGTTCAAATAGTACAGTTACTGTAGATCTCTCGATTTACACCTGATGCTCGTTATGGTTCCCCAACCTTGCCTTGTCATTTAAGACTGTAACCGCACCGGTCATTTCGGGCACTTCGTGGCTTTCGCCACGGCCATCGGGGGCGCTTAAAAGGCAGGTATGGTAACACGCTTGTCCTTTCCCTAAACAGTGTAGGTTGGCTTTGTTTGTTGTACATTCAAAGGGGTTGTTACCACAATTTTTGCCCATTTCATTAACACCCCATTACAATTCACAACCTGCACTGTCACAAACACCACGATTCCCCTTCGACCCAATGAAGTTGCTCCACCTGTACTCAACACAAATACCCCGTCATCCATCCCAATTCTTGCAAATGTGTACAAGGCGTACACCTGATGCATTAGAGGATGAATGAAACTCAACCTCTAAGGGGGTCGAAATCCCCTCTCACAGCCACATCCACTCTGCAGCGGCCAGGTATCCGCTCATCACGGCGGGTGCACCGGCGTCAATCAGCTCCTGGCGGCGGGCCGACTGCGCCACCCAGTCTGGGGTGGGCACATGCGCCCACGCAGGAAGCACCCGACCGCGGCGACGAGGGGTCTCAGGCGGCGGGGTGTCGGCGTGTGTCACAGCCGGGGGGTGGGGCGTGGTTGAGATCGAGAGGCGGGCTCGCGCGTTCCATCCGCGCCACGATGATGGGGTTGCAGATGTCGAACAAGGCGCAAAGGTCGCGCGGGGAAATGCACGTCGCCCGCGAATAACCAATCAGCATCTCGCACGCTGCGCGAGCGGTGCGGTGCGCTTCGCGCGACGCAGGGTTGCTGTCGTCGTAGACAGCCTGCATCTTAGCATGCGCCTCCCACATTGCGGGTGTCGCCGTCGACGCGGGCTCCCTTGCAAGCGGGTCCTCCCCCGTTTCGGCGCAGGTGGGCTGGTTGGCGTCGACGTTCACGAAATCGGCGGCGGCCATCGCGCTCGGCCCGAGACGCAAATGGTCAATGAGGAGGCCGACGCCGTCAACCTCTGCATCGAGGCCGATGTCGGCCACATTCGCACCGCCGCCGCCTGCGCCGCCGTTGTTGCCGTTCCCGACCCCCACGTGTGGGAGAGACATGGCCCACACGTGGGGAAGACATCCGGTGCGCCACCACCAGCGCTGGATGGCGCGCGGGCCAACGTTCATTCAAGCGTCGTGGAGCCACTTCAGCACAAGCCGCAAATTCGGCCTGAAACGCGCAGCCGCGGTAGTTGCGCTGTCGGCACACCACATGCCGGTAAAGGCGCGGAGCCAGTGCGCACGGTACCGCGCCTTCGCCATTGAGATGAGACCCTGGTCAAGAGGCTGGGTGAAGCAGGTCATGTTCGGGGGTAGATACACGAGGCGCACGTTCCCGAGCGCGCACGTGCGGAATCCGAACATGTCTTCGGTGGTGACACCTTCTGTCGTGAGCGTGTGGCTGCTGGCGTTGTCGAGCAGCACCACGATCTTCCTTCCCTCGGCGTACATGGTGGCGTCAAGCTGCTCGATGTAGTGAGTGAACAACTGCGCATGGCGATAGCGGGCGGAAGGGGAACAAAGCATTGGCCGTAACAATGTCACTTTTCGGTAACTTGAAATTGACGAGGTCGGCTAACGATACACACATGCACCAGCATACTCACTGCCTTTGTCATCCAGCCTTTGGCGTTATTACGCCAGTAGCATTTCTCCTCGGGATTGTAGTCAGGGCGAAAGTCGTGGGGCCTCCTCACCTTCGAAATCACCAACGGCTTGAAGACACGGGACCCGTCGGCGTTGACGAGGAAGCCCACCGTCAAACGCTCCTTGGCTATCTTCGTCCGGCCGTGCGGGTGGTGCCATACGTCTTACGCGGCAGGATCGAGAGGAACAAAGCGGTCTCGTCGAAGTTGAAGGTGTCGCTCGGAGTGACGGAAAGATGCATCAACAGCTGCGGGAGTTTCTCCTTGGTCGTTCGGATGGACGTCGTGTCCTGGTCGGCCGCCTTGCCAACGGCGCTCATGCAACGGACACCCTGGCGGCGCAGAGCACGACGGGCCCAGCCTATGGAGCAGCGAAATGTGGGCGGAATCCCACTGTTCCGCGCCATTGTCGCCACATGGTCGCAGATTGTTGCGAGAGTGAGAGGCACGCCAGCCGGGCCCGCATTGGCGATCCATCGAGCCATTGCGCACTCGAGCTCGGAATGTGCGCCTCCGCGCACACGGATGACGTCGGCGGCCCCATCAGGTCGCACCCAACGGTCGGCACCCTTGAGCACGCGCCCAATAGTGATGCGGTCGGGGCGAATCCCGAAGCGAGTGAAGCACCAGCGAGAAAGATCAACATGGCGCAGGTGCGGATTTGCAACATGGTGGGCGCAAATCGCCCTCTTGATTGGCAAGCCCAGCTGCGAACGGTGGCATAAGCGAGCCATGGTGGTGAGGGAAGAGGAAACTATGATTGACGGGAAGAAGGCATGCCTTCTGATTGCTGGTGATTTTGCCTTTCTCGTCGTGAGCTGTGAGGAGGCACTTTGAAACCACCGATGCGCGATACATTTCTTTAGACAAATGAATCGAGTGATGGTTACAGGCGATGTGCTACCCTGTAACCACCACCGTACGTTGTGACGTGTGTTTGCTGCACATTGAGAGGCTATGCGGGTGTCTGTATCGCCTTAGTGCAAGGTACAGGTGGCAGTAGGAATTTGGCAGTGGTCTGTTTGACGCACCTTGACACACCTTACGTGGCACAGCTTGGATTCGCGAATGTGGCAACGATTTCGAATGTGTTTCGTCCATGCACTTCGCGTCCTTTGTTTCTGGCCAGGAAACAAGGACTCCCTGGGCAACACAGTTTGTTTTGTGCCCTACATTCATTTGTGGTTGTATTCATTCAACTTGGGTAAGTAGTCCAAGGCGCTCTAAACGTGGGTGCAACTTCACGGCAAAAAACCCACGGGTGCAATGTTTCCACCCGGTGCGAGACAATTTCGCGAGCATTGGGTGAGCATCATGTGTACTAAAAGTCCTCCATCTCCCTAATATAGACATGCTACGAATACATCTAAGTACACAGCTGGTTAGTCATACAATGAAATCACTCTAGCATAGCTTGTATTCAAATATTGTCTAGCGTAAGGGGCAGGAAAAGACTTGATTCTACAAAGTCCTGCCATACTCTACAACTTTTTTATATGTGCAACTGCGATATCTCCATAATCTTCAGAGTTGCACAGATCCAACAAATTTTGGGAAGCTCTGAATGATCAAGACACATCTTGTAGCTAGGTGCCAGATGTGCACCTGGTCTTCCCCTTTCTCATCAGTTTCTGCCTTGCCAGCTGGAAATGCATTGGTTTCTTACTTGGAAGGTTGGCACATAAGGGTTGGGTCCACCCATTGGGACCCCTTGCTGCTCCAGCAGTTGCAGCGCCGAGTCAACATCCGCTTGAGAGACGGATGGGGAGCGGGACAGAAGGCGGAAGGAGATCTGTGGGGAACACCACGGGACCACGAGGGTTGAGAAGGTGAAGGGCAAGAAGAATTGAGATGTCTGCAGTGCCATGCGAGGAACTTGGATGGCCAAAATCAGAACGAAAACGTTGACAGTGGCACCTGGTCAGACTCTTTTTAGCAGGCGACAGGCTGAGAGCATTTAGATCGTAATTTGGGGGCCAAAGCATACACATGGCTAGCTCGAAGATTGCCTGCGTACCGCGCTTGTTCTCCCCGAGCCAATGTTAGCGGGCGGCACGAAGCACGAGTAGATGAGCGCCATGCTGTACGAGTCTGACAGCGCCTGGTTGCCCCACAGCCCCGCCACCCACATGTTCTCCACCACGCCCCGCCCGTTGCCGTACGTCACCTGCATCTTGCCCACCTGCCATGCTCGTGTGGTGTGGTGTGGATGGATGGTTTGGGAGTGGAGCAGCGGCTATTTAAAAACGGAGAATGTGCTGCTATATTAGCCGATGAATGTAGATACGCAGTGCATTTAAGGACGCGCAATGCAGTGCCAGCAGCGATATGAAAGACCGGGGTTGGGGAGAGGGGGGCAAGGAGGGGGGGGGGGGGGGGGTCACATCCCGTGCAGGCATGCAGGCACCAGAAGGTCGCTGCATTGCGCAGCGCATGCAAGGGGCGTTGGGCGCGGCGGTGTACCTGCGAGGCTTCCACTTGCGTGACGGCGCCGATGGCGGAGTAGGAGAAGCGCATGGCGAGCGGGTTGGAGAACATGAGCCCCGCCATCGGCCGCATTGATGCCGTCGCTGCGCCCATGCGCCCCGTCGCGCGCCCAAACCCACTCACGTTGCGCGTGAGCCCCACAATGTCGTTCAGGTTCAGCAGCAGCTGAGGGGAGGGACGGTGGAAGGAGGGGGGAAGGATATATATTATTGTGTCTGTGTGGATGGGGGCGGGTTCAGGATGTTGTGGCAGTGCGAGGGGAGAATGAACGAGAACGGGAACAATGCAGGACAACTGCGGCCTCTGGAGCGCAGCGCCGCGCCGCTTCTCCTCCACGAGGGCTCACCGTTTGTTTGCCGCGCAGGTTGCCGAGCTTGTTCTCCACCTTGTTGACGCGCCGCGTCGCGATCTGCGCCGACTTCATGATGCTCACGCGCCCCTTGTTGATGGCCGTCGACTCCCTCTGCAGCTGCTTGACGGCGCTCACGAGCTTCTGCTTCGTCTGCCAGATGAAGAACACGCGGTCCATCTGGCTCAGCTGCGCGTTCAGCTGCTGGATCCGCGCCAGCAGGTTATACGCGCGCTCCGCGCGCGCGGAAACCTGCGCCATGGAATTCGCGATGTCGCCCAGCGCGACCTTGACGTCCGCCTCGACGTCGTTGGGGAGCTCCGCCCACGACAGCGTCTGCTGCGCGTTGCTCACTTGCAGCGTGGCGGAGCTGCCCTGCGCGGGGGGGCCGCGCGATGGCGGTGCAGACCGAGCGCAGGTGGTCGCGCACGGCGAGCGCGGACTTGGAGAGCCCCTGGATCTGCGACTGGCGCGCGGGCGTGGTCATGCGGATGCCGCGCTTCACCACGCTAGGACAAACGAGATGGGGGGGAAGGGGGGCAGTAAGGGAGGAGGGGTTAAGTTTACCGCACAAGGCGGAATGAGGAACGAGGAGAGCGAGTGGGACAAGATAAGAAAGAGGATGGAGGGGAATGGCTATAGCGCACGAGAGACGGCGGCTTGCGGAGCAGCGACGCAGCACGATCAAAGAGGTGGGTAGAGGCGTGCAGGTAGGCACCTGAATCTGTTGAGGCTGTGGTTGATGCCGCGGAATACGAAGTTGTACGTCACGCACGACATGCCCAGCTCGCCGCTCACTTCCAGCTTCGACTCCGCCGTCGACCCGATCTCGTACCACTTGCCCTGTAGCAATACCACGGACACTCAAATTCGTCAAAACCTGGAGGCTGAAACGCTTGAACTGCTGGTGTCTTGACAAATTTCCACGAAACACACCGGAGGGAATGTGATAGAAGGCTATGCCAAGACGAGTTTGGGTCGGTGGGGCTAAAAATTGACGGTTCTTAACCAGCTGTATCGACTGCAGTGCTATTGAACGGCACGAAGACGCGCGTTGGTAGACGCGGTGTCATAGTCAGCAACTTGTCGACCAGCAATATGAGGGACGACCGGTACAAGAGTTAAAGGCCCATGGGCAGAGCGCGATTGGAAGGCCGACTGGAATGGCGCAGTAACTATGCATGAATTTCACGTGTACCCGCCTAGAGGCGCGCGCACGGGTACCTGGAAAAACTCCGCCATGAACGTGTTGCTCGTCTGCACGTCGGGGCACGCCCCCACCGTCTCCTTCACCAGCTCCTGGCAGAAGTATGTGTCCCCCGCTCGCGCGCGCTGCCACGCCGCGCACCACACCGCGACGCACGCTAGCACAGCAGCCAGGCGGCTGCCGCGGCCTACTCTATAGGTGATTTCCATGGTGGATGTCAGGAGGGGTGACGATGACGCGTGGCTAGGCGGGACAGGATATTGCTGCTGACACGTCTTGATGCAGTTCAGCACAAAGGCTTCAGTACTGGATGTGTCGGGTAACACTTAACTACGCCGGTTAATAATAGACTGAGATAGGCTCAACTACGCCGGTTTAGAAAAAATGCGAGGTGAAACATGTCACCTTCAACACCAGAAACAGGCAATACGCTATCGTTATGATCTATCTCGCCAACCTATCTGCATGAACCACCTCAATGCTTCTACGCGATTGAACTTAGTGATGAGGTGCAAGGACGTCTCATCGACGAATGCGGACTTCTGAATCTGAATGCTTTGTCGGCTAGGAGAGTCAACGTGATGGAAAGTGGATTAGCAAAGCAGAGTTGGCTGATCTAGGGGCGTCATTCTCAAGGTGCTTGGTGCGGGCGGAGGCGACATTGGCGGGGCAAGAACTGCTAGTGCGCCAAATTCCAATTGAGAAGGACAGCGTTGGGAATTCGAAATTGTGATGAGTGCGACGCGGTTGTTACATGCGCGCCTTGAAAACGCGCGTCGTGGATTCACGCGTCGGCATGCGTGAGTGATCGTTTCGAATCACCTGGACGCGAACATGGCAGGTAAACGAAAACGGCGGCCGTGTAACTTTCATCCGCATTAGAACAACCAAGAATCGAGCTATTGTTTGTCTAGAAACGGGGCGTTCTAAGTACCAATATAGATTATCGAGATTTTGCTTTGTAGTCCATTAATCACAAAGCCACAAGAAGTGGATACATCAGACAGTACAATGTCACATCCTATCAATATTGAAGCTAGCAACAAGATGAGCTAATCATTCTAATGCATGCTTCAACTTTAGTTGTGCTGGTTAGTTCTACTTACAAGGTCACAACCTTGAACTATTCATGATGGTCAGTTTCCCCACAAAGTGTTGCACACCGCTTCGTCTTGATTTGCCTTGATGAAGATGTTTGCTCCCCCTAGTACAATGCCTTGTGTTTCCAGTTGGGAAAGTCGGGCGTCAATCTCCGATTGACCAACTGATGTTGTGCGCGCCAGTATGGATACTGAGAACTGGGCACAGAGCACCAGATGAAAGAACATTGGCTTAGAAATATACAACTGCAGTTCGTTGCCAATAGCTCTGGAAAGGCTGGAACACATTGGGTTTAGGGTTGTATTCCCATTTCCTCACCTGGCCGCCATCACACGACACAATGGTGGCCATGTTGTACTCGGAATCTGCGTTCCCTTCAAGCTTGTTGATCAGGTAGTTGTTATTCCGAGCGAATCCAAAGAGGCTCACTGCAAACTTCCCAGGCTGTCCAAGAGCAGCAAGGTGAGACACACAAGAGCTTATATTGAAGGAAGTGACAGTAGCATGTGGGCTATCCTCAGTCAATGATCATAGCAATGAATTGACGTCCCGCCCCGCATCTCACCTGCTTCCTGTCTTGCACGGCTTGCATGCGCAGCTGGGTCTGGGAATTCCAGGGGAAGGGCGATGGGAACATGGTGAGGGAGGGCACGAGCACCGACGCCGCCAGCAGGCGAATCACAGTCGTCGCCAGGCCCACCTTCCCTCTCACTCCCAGTTCCCAAGACGCGCGCCCCAGGAAACCAGAGAGCCGGGATGTGAACCGGGTGGCGGCACTGCTGTTGGCAGCGGGCAGCATGAGCTGCATCTGCAGCACCGCCAGGCTTCCCCTCATCCCTGCGCGCTGAGCCCTTCCAGCAGCAGCAATGATGCGGTTGGCTGCGTCTGCGAGCCCTTGCTTCGTGACGTCCAGCCCGGGGTCCTGCGGGTCGTTGAATGTGCTGGCGCGGTTGTTATGCTGCTGCAGCGCTCCCAGCTGATTGTAGATCGCGAGGGCCTGCTGTGACAGGGTGGCGCCAGACGCAGCCAGTATGCCCACAGCTGCAAGCGCAGTTCCGTTGGCTTGCTGGGAAAACGGGCTCGTGCTGTTACTGCTGCTGTCACTAGTGGGCGTAGTCCCGCTGCTGTTTACCCCGCCACCCACCCCCTGAGGCCCCGGCACAAGCATCGCCTGCAGGGACGCGTGCGCCCTGGCGCTGTAAACGGCCGCCTCGCACACACGGCGCAGGTTGCGCGAGATGCGCCCTGCTGCTGCGGATATGCGCCACACCTGAGCGGGGGAAGGAAGAGGGGGGGATGAGTGCGGGGAGCAGTGGCGGAGGGCATGTCTGACGACGGGCAACTAAGTGATCGGGAGAGCATGCCTTGCACGAACGCGTTGGACGCTGGGCGGGTCGTAGTGTGGCGCACCTGATCGGCTCGTAACGGACTGACGGTGCGAAGGCCGCGACTGAGAAACCTGGTCGCGGCAAGGGGGGCGCAAAGGACGAGGGCAGTGGCGCGAGTTGGGAGATGGCATTTGGGAGGGATTGCTGCAGATAGCCTTCCTGCGAAAGCTCACGCTTCTTTGTTTCCCGACTCGCGCAAGCAGGGGATGCGCAGGCTCGGAGCTTACCCAGCGACGTTGCTGCCGTCAGTGGCGGTGGCGAGCGCGGAGTACTTGGCGGCGTTGCACGACAGGCCGCTCGCCGTGCTGAATTTGTGCAGCGCGCTGCTTCCCACCTCGAACCACGCGCCCTGCGGTCACAGAAAGTGCCACGCGTTATCAGACTGGGAAAAACTGGAGAACGAGAGAATGTGACTGGCTGGGAATGACTGGGAAATGGAAAGAACCACGAGATTGCTCACACTCAGCAAGTAACACCTCCCTGCCATGGCTTCGTCGAACCCCATCACGCCTACCGTGAATTTCTCCAAGTCCAACGAGTCGACCGTCGATGTTATCGGGCATCGATTAGGAAACTGCGCTATAAAGGTATCGCAGAAAGCGGCGTGAGTTGTTGTTATCAACGCAACGAGGATGAATGACGCCAGTACGTAGACTACACATCTTCGTCTTAGCAGTGCCATGAAAATTAATCCAGGTAATTGGCCAAAGACGAGGCCTTCGTTTAAGGTTGACTGGAAGGCGCGAGAGGATTCTCGACTTCGATTGTGCTTACTAACTGGAGCAGGCGTTTCTCAATGATTGTGAACACGAGTGTTTTTGCGTAACCATGTAGTGAGAACAAAACACACGCCCTGCCTTGACCAGGAAATGTGAATTCAAGTGGTGAGTCGAGGCGCAAAATATAAAAATGCAGCGGGAAATGCCACCCGTTCCACCCAAAGCCAATCCCTGAAGCGACACGGCGATGGCTCTGAGTCTGCGACGCGAGCGGGGGGAAAGAGGAAGACTCTGAATTCTGTACTCGACATTCACAGCAGCAACTACAGATTATTGGTACACATCTCTTTATCGATGTTTCATTGGACCGTATGTATACCGTCGATTCTAGTATTTTATACTCTCAATGTATGTACATGTTTGAAGCTCTCATGTACTTCACCTGATGGTTGTTGTTATAAGTTGTGAAAGGAAAGAGTGCGCAGAACTCAATAGTGCGGAAGTGATTACAACGTCTGAATGAACAACGAGGCCTAGGCATAATATAACAAGGTTAGCTAGGCCGAGGTCGCGGGGTCGCGGGATGGTTGGGTGTAGGTTCGGGGTTGGAAAACCCAAAAGCGACGCGGTGGTGGCTCGGAAGGCGAGGTCGGCGGGCCGAGCCTGGTTTTCCGAAAGTCGGAGTTGTACGCGTACAGTGTGACCCAGTAAGGAATCCGGAAAATTCTTTACACTACCCCCCCCTTTAAGAAAGGTGGTGAATATCCGAAACACCTCGGCGGGCGAGGTAAGCGTCCAAAACCGGGTGTCCCAGAAGCGAGTCAGCAGCGACATACGTGTCGTCCTCGCTCGTGCGGTCTTTCCAGCGAAGCAGCAATTTCACTGAGCGGCCGGCAGCAGTCACGTCCACGCGATGGTTGAGAAATTTCCAGGGTTCCAGCGTGGGCTCTGCCACGGGGCAAGTGGTCGGCGCGAGGGTCGGTCGAGCAACAGCTGGCGACTGCGGCTGTTCGTAGTGACGCAACAGGCTGACGTGGAAGGCGTCATGTATCTTCCAATCGTCGGGCAGCAGCTGCTTCGCGGTGACAGGTGTCACCATCTGGATGATCCGAAAAGGTCCCACGTAGCGGGGCCGTAATTTCGCGGGCTGCGGCAGCCGAAGGTTCTTGGTGTCCAGAAGTACAACCTGCCCCGGGCGGAAGGGTAAATTCCGTCGGTGTTTGTCCGCCTGACGACTGGCCGTGGTATTAGCCTTGCGAATGAACTCGGCTGCTTTCGTCCGGGCGGTTTGCAGTTCCGTGACAAACTGCTGCGATCTTGGTACCGGGTTGTCCACAGTCGTGGAAGAGGGAACCACGGGGTCTATCGCGTAATTCAAGAAAAAGGGTGATTGTTTAGTCGTGGCCAATGGGGGCGTTGTTGTACGCGAATTCCAGCATCGGCAGCGAATCTTCCCACCTGCGAATGTCGGGGCAGTTGGTGCGAATCAGCTGCTCCATGGTCTGATTTGTCCGTTCCGTCTGTCCGTCGGTCTGCGGGTGGTATGACGACGAAAACTGCAGGCGGGTACCGTACTGTGCCCACGTTTCCTGCCAGAATTTCGACGTAAATTTCGGATCACGATCGCTGATGATCGCCGAAGGTAACCCGTGTAGGCGTACGACGGCGGAGATGAACAGTTTGGCTGTATCTTCGGCTGTGATCGTCGTTCGGCATGGGGCAAAATGCGCCATCTTCGTTAGGCGATCGACGATGACTAGCACCGAGTCGTTGCCACTTGCGCCAGCTGGGAGCCCCGTGACGAAATCCATCGTCACCTGTTGCCACGGTCGTTCGGGTGGCGCGAGGGGTTGCAGCAGTCCAGCTGGCCGTTGTCGCGACGACTTCATTGCTTGGCAGGTCGTGCAAGTTGATACGTAGCGCTGTACATCGGTCTGCATGTCCGGCCAGTAATAATTCCGCTGCAGCAGCTTCAGTGTTTTATCGGTGCCGAAATGCCCGGAAAGGTTGGAGTCATGAACCTCCTGCGTCAGCAGCTCTCGTAAAGGCTGGTATGCTGGTACCCAAATCCGGTTCGTACCGGCTTTTAGGTAGTATTTGCCGTGCGGTGTAGCAGCCTGTTGTTGCGGGTTCCGAAAAAACCTGTCGATCTTGTAGCCGTGGGTGAATAGTCCCGTCAGCATCGGGTTAGTGTGGGCGATTAGTACCGCCGCGTTTTGCATGGTTGGTCGGGTAAGGGCGTCGGCGATGTTGTTGGCGCCCTTTTTGTACGTGATGGTGTACCGGAAATTGGACTCGAGGAATTCCAACCACCGAATTTGTCGCGGGTTGAGTGTCGGTTGTGTGCGCATGTACTGTAGTGACTTGTGGTCGGTCCGAATTGTCACATCGGCTCCCGTGAGGTAGCAGCGCCAGACACGAAATGCATGAACGATGGCCAGCATCTCTTTGTCGTGGACTGGGTAGTTACGCTCGGGTGGCTGCATCTTGCGTGACTCGTAGGCGATGGGTTGCAGCCCTTGGCCGAAATCCTGTAGTAGGACGGCGCCGACGGCGAAATCGCTGGCGTCCGTGACGACTTCGAACGGTCGAGATGGGTCGGCGAGGCGGAGTACCGGGGGTGAACCCAAAATGTTTTTGAGAGCGTCGAAGGCGGATTGCTCCCTCTCCCCCCACCGAAAATTACTGTAGTGATGCAGCAGGTCGGTCAGCGGCTTGGTTATCCCTGCCATGTTAGGTACAAAACGACGGACGTAGTTAACAAACCCCAAAAAACTTTGCAACTCAGGGATATTAGTAGGTGGTTTCCACTTAACGATGGCGTCCCCTTTACGCGGGTCGATTTTAATCCCGTCGCCAGAGACCACATGTCCCAAAAATTCCAATTCTGGCTTCAGAAACTCGCACTTAGACCCCTTTGTAATTAGCCGATGCCCTTGTAAACGCCGGAACACCTCCTCTAAATCCTGTAGATGGTCTTCTTTTGTCGCGCTGTACACCAGGATATCGTCCAGGTACACGATGACCTTCTTGTCCAGCATGTCTCGAAAAATTCCATTCATGGTGAGCTGGAACGTCGAGGGCGCGTTTGTCAGGCCGAACGACATCACTGTGAACTCGTAACTGCCGTAGCGTGTGCGAAAAGCGGTCTTCGGGCAGTCGTTGGCGAACACGCGAATTTGGTGGTAGCCTCCTCGCAGGTCGATTTTCGAAAAATACCGAGCTCCGCGAAGTTGATCCAGCAGATCGTCGGTTCGTGGGATCGGGTAACGCGACTTTATCGTGACCCGATTCAGCGCCCGATAATCAATGCACATGCGTAGGCCACCGTCCTTCTTCGGCGTGAACAGTATCGGTGCTGCATACGGCGACGTGCTGGGTCGGATAAATCCCTTGACGAGCAGGTAATCCAGCTGGGCTCGCAATTCGGCGAGCTCTGGTTGGCTGAGCCGCCACTGTGACCGAACAGTGGGTTGCGCCCGTGGCTCCAGCTGGATCCGATGGTCTTCAGGTCGTTGGGGGGGCAAGCCATCCGGGAGGTCATCCGCGAAAATTTCGGGATACCTCCGAATGATGCTCGCCAATTCCTCGGGGACTGCCGCGTAGAGGGTGTCGATGTCCGCGATTTTTTCGGAAGCTGCCACCTCGTACAGATGCACCAAGAAGGCCTGAGCTCCGCCGTTCATCGCACGCTGCATGTTGACCGCGTTGACACGTGTCGTCACCGGCTCCGGCTCCGTCCATTTCGGAAGCGTCGTCTTCCCTCCGTATCCTCGCACGACGCACGTCCCAGTCGTCCAGTCGATCGTCGGATTGAAACGCTGTAGCCAATCCCTCCCCAGCAGCACGTCGCAGCCGTCCAACGTCGTCGCCAACATTTTCATGCCAAACCCGAAATTGTCGCTGCACTGTATCCGAATTTTTTGCGCCTCATCTCGGATGGCCAACGGTGTTCTGTCCACCAACCTTGCATCGATCTTCGGCAGACACCTGGTCAACTTCACCCCAATTTTTTTGGCCGTTGCCAGGTTGACGAGACTGTGGCTCGCCCCACCGTCAACGAAGATTTTTATCTTATAGCCGTTAACCCTCCCTACCACCAGCACATGGTAGTCCACGTGTTCACCCACGTTATTCGTCCGGTTCTGGTCGATAGCTCTGATCGGTACCACGACCCGGTGTGGATGGTGATTGTCGGGCGACAGGGTCTCGTCAGTAGGTGGCCCGTCTGCTACTGACTCGTATCTTTTCCCGACCCTTCTCCGTCGTTCTTCTTCCCCTGCTTAAGCCTCGGGCAGTCTTTTTTCAGGTGGCCCAGCTGGTTGCATAAAAAGCACGGCCCAAGGGCTCGGCTCGGTGCATCCACGCCGTTGATCGTGGCTTGCTGAGTCGGTCCACGAAATCGAGGGCCCTCCCGGGAGCTCGATCTCGCCCACTGCATCAGCGCATCCGTTGACTCGGCTTCCCGGACGGCGTTGTTGAAGCTTCGTGGCCGGGTTCGTCGGACCTCGTATTGTATCTCGTATTTCAGGCCCGCTGTCTGAGGTCCACTGGTGATCCCCGATTGATCCTAGGGAAGGGTTACAGGCACGTTGGCGTGGGGGGTTATGGGCGCATTGACCCGCTACTTAACAAGCCCTTTTATCCCAATGGTCTAGTGGTTGGGATTCTGACATGGTATCAGAGCGAAGGTTTCGGGTTCGAATTCCGGTGTATGCACTTCGGGCATCCCAGTGCGGGGGGGTGTCTGAGGTCCACTGGTGATCCCCGATTGATCCTAGGGAAGGGTTACAGGCACGTTGGCCTGGGGGGTTATGGGCGCACTGACCCGCTACTTAACAAGCCCTTTTATCCCAATGGTCTAGTGGTTGGGATTCTGACACCCGCCGCGTAGCGATCCAACCGCTCTGCGTCGCTCATGTCGTCCACCTGGTCCGCCAAGTTGCAGAATTTGCTGGTGTAGTCTTGGACTGAAGTCAGCTGCTTCTAGGTACGCAGCTGCAATGCGAGCAGAGTCCGAGGCGGATATGTGTTCGAATCTGGTTTGCAAGGCGGCGCCCCACTCCTTCCATATGCGTGTCGTGGCCGTCCCAAAAATCGATGTTGCCTGATGCGTGACAGGTGTTGAAGTCCCGTCGTTCGCACGTGCTGTTCCTGCCGAAGTCCCTTCGTGTTGCAGCGCTCGCCTCCACCACTCCAGCGCAGGTCCTCGCAACAGTGAAACTGCGAAATTAATGCCGGTGGCGTCGTCATAAATCATAGCAGCATTAAAGAACACCTCCACACCGAACAACCACGCAGAAAACAGTGACAAACTTATCACTCGGGTTAAACGAGGGCGGGTTTGTCGGCTTGATTTTCACGAAAGCCGTTGCTGCCATCGGGGCCGTTAGCGTTGCTGCTGGCGTCGCCGTCGTCGTCGCTGCTGCACGTGGCGGTACTGCACGCGACTGTTGTGACGACTGTTCCTGCTGCGCCTGCCTCGCCTCGTCCGCATCCATCTCGCCTTCCAGTTCGCTCCAGACCCGCTCATCTGGTGTAGTGCTGCTACTTGCGTCGTCCACGACAGGCGACTCCTGGCGCGCTTCACCACGCGCCTGGTGTAGTTCGGCGTTTTCCTTCCGTAGACGCTCCATCTCTGCATTCATACCCTGCAAGTTGGCCTGCATCGCACGGAACTGTTGCATGAACTCGTTGAACTCGGCCTGCTCCATGTGCCTCAGGCTTCGTCGAACGGGCAGGGGGTGGCTCGCGATTTTTCTGACTTCGGTGAAGGCGTTAATGCTATCATAGTCGGAGTGGAATAATCAGATCTATTCCACGGGCCGACCGCTTAACAGCCCACCAAGTCTATCGCTCCCCTTCTACAAACTACCCCGGAAACGCGAGGGTAACCTAGGACTTTAGGCTCTGATACCAAGTGTTATAAGTTGTGAAAGGAAAGAGTGCGCAGAACTCAATAGTGCGGAAGTGATTACAACGTCTGAATGAACAACGAGGCCTAGGCATAATATAGCAAGGTTAGCTAGGCCGAGGTCGCGGGGTCGCGGGATGGTTGGGTGTAGGTTCGGGGTTGGAAAACCCAAAAGCGACGCGGTGGTGGCTCGGAAGGCGAGGTCGGCGGGCCGAGCCTGGTTTTCCGAAAGTCGGAGTTGTACGCGTACAGTGTGACCCAGTAAGGAATCCGGAAAACTCCTTACAGTTGTCGTGAAATGGTCCCATCCGCATTCCCCGGAGCTGAGGATGTACCGCCTCCGCAGCGCAGGGTGGCGCTCATGTTGCGCTTTCAGGTGTTGATACGGCACCATTGGCTGATCTCGATGGGCCTACGAGTCGCAGCTTCTGTTACATGCTTGCACCGCACTCTGCGCCCCTTTCAACCAGCCCAGAAATGCCTGCACCGCTGGTTGCTTGACCCAACCCAAGCCACTGAACGCGACAACAAGGCGGGCACAGCTGCGGAAGAAACGCCACTGAACGCGACATCTCGCGCCAACTGCGTGTGTGGCTGGCAGAATTTTCAGCACAGGACTTGTGCTGGATGAAAGGCGGGACCAAAGTGGATTATTAGGTCACGCTAAAAGCATTTAGAGGCTACGAGTGTTAGCTATTTTGTACTTCCGCTCGCGACGCTGCATCGCCATCATTGCAAACAGAGGCCCACGTCACCTTTAAGTAGATTCGGATTGCGCGGTTCCTCTGCTAGCGACATGGGCGCAGAACCGGACACGCAGCGCGAATCGACGCTGGACGAATCGGTCCAAGTGGCCGATGCGTACGACGACGACGAGGAGTCGCAGTACGCATCGGTCAGCAAGGTGGGTCGTCCACGTCGCATGCGTCGTAGGACAGAGGCAATCTGCGATGGTTGTGCGCGGCGATAGGACGCGATACTGCGGCGTGCTCGTAGTGCAGCGGGGATAGCGCTGCCGTCGATGGGACGCGCAGCTGCGGCTAGCGCATACGACAGAGTGCTACTAGTCCGTGACGAGTGGAAGGCACGACGTTGGGACGACTGAAAGGGCGGGAAGAGTTACCAGTGTGGGTTGCGAGGGAAGAGGATGGCGTCACTGCGGGAGAGGAGTGGGCCACACCGCGCGCGTAGCTCCTTCCATCCCCCACGCTCCCCTCACGTGCCACTCGTCTTCTCCACCGCTGCTCACTCACTCGCGCCACCAGCATTCTTTTTCCCGCCCCCCCTGCGCCCCCCCCCCCCCCCACCCCCCCCCCCCCCCCCCCCCCCCCCCCCCCCCCCCCTCCCACTTTTCTTCCTTTCGTCCGGTCGCAGCAGACGATCGAAGCCAGTGCGCGCTACAACGACCGTGCGAACAACTCTTCACGTCCCCCGCCGACTACGGTCAGCCATGCGCCCTTCCTTCTCCATCCCCTCCGTCTAACCCGCTCGCCTCTCTCTCGCTCTCTCGCCTCGCGCCTTCTTGCATTCGCGCCTTCCGTTCGCCGTCCCCCTCACCCCCATCTTCCTCACCCCGTAACTTTCCTCTTCTCACCCTCCCCCCCTCCCCTCCATCCCTTCCCTCCCTCGTCCTCCCTCAATCCCCCCTTGTCCCCTTTCCCTTTTTCAACGTCCCCCACCCGTCCCGCGGCCGCAGACCCGGCGCGCGAGACGCACTACGTGCTGGTGGTGCACGGCACGTTCGACTCGCCGCCCGCCGCGGGGAATCCGCCGCCGTGGTACTTCCTGGACGCGAAGCGCGCCGACAACTTCTGCCACCTCATCGCCAAGGACCTCAAGGGCACGCCGCTCGGCTTCGACGCCGTCTGGCGCCAACTGCCCGGTGCGCGGGGGGGAGAAGGGGGCGGGGGGGAATTGCACGGAGGTGGGGGTTTGGGGAAGCTGGCGGGCGAGGTGCGGGGAGAGGGGCGCTGCAAGGTTAGCGATAGGGGCTCTGACGACCCGTTGACCCTCTTATTCACCTCCCGCATTCTCCCATCCGTTTCCCCGCCCTACACTCTCTCCCCCTCACTCCCCCGCTCTCCCCCCTCCCCGTTCCCCACGCGCGCAGACTCGCACGCGGGCATGCGGCTGCGCGAGGACGTGCCGTACCCTTTCCACTGGTCGGGGCACAACACGCACGAGGCGCGCGTCGGTGGTGAGCGCGCCTGGGGGGGAAGATGGGTGAGCGCGCCTGGGGGGGGAAGATGGGTGAGCGCGCCTGGGGGGGAAGATGGGTGAGCGCGCCTGGGGGGGAAGATGGTGAGCGCGCCTGGGGGGGAAGATGGGTGAGCGCGCCTGTGAGGAATGGGGAGTGAGGACGTGGCCCGGGGGACGGGGAGTAGGGGTTTGAGCATGCCCGAGGTACAGTGAGCAGCAAGGGGCAAGGATGATGGGAACGGCACGGCCAAAGGCAGCACGCCATGCTTGCTCGTCCTCGTGCAAACCATCTCTCTTATCCGCCAATGCCGCCACTCATTACCCCCCCGAACCCATCTATTCCACCACGGGCCCCCCTCCTTTCCCCCTCCCTGGCGCAGCGGGCAAAGGCGTTGGCGCAGCTGATCCACGCGGTGGGGCGCGCGGACCCGTCGGCGCGCGTGCACGTGGTGGCGCACAGCCACGGGGGCAACGTGGCGCTCAAGGCCGTGTCCAAGTACCTCTCCATGCTGCGCCGCGACTCCCGCGACCCTGCGCGCGCCTCCCACGACCAGATCACCGCCGCCTTCTGGGAGGCGCACGCTGAAGGGTACCGAAGCATAAAGGAGCACCAGCAGGTGAAAGTGGGCGCGGTCTGGATGCTGGCGTTCGCGCCGTTCCTGGTGGTGAAGCGGCCATGGCGGGGCGACGAGGCGCTAGGCGCCTTCCCCTACGCCTACTTCCGACGCGTTGACTCGCTTCTCGGCCTTCCCAAGCGAGTGCCGCCCCCCTGAACCCCTCCTTCTCCGCTCACCCTCACTCCTGTCCTTCAAGGCCGCCCGCCTCCTCCACTCGCTCCCCACCTCCCTCCACTCTCTGCTCCTCTTTCCCTCTTCTCACCCTCTTCGTCACTCCCTTTGTCTCTCCCACATATCTCCTCCACCCACCGGCCATAACCCCGCAACCCTGTACCCCTTCCCTTGTCCGTCCCCCACTCCCTCCCCCCAGGGTGCGGCAGGCCAAGTACCTGCGGAAGAAGTGGGCGGGGAGCAGCAGCACCAACTGCTTAGGCCGAATGGTGTTCCTGGGGACGCCCTTCTACACCAAGCACTGGGACCCGCAGGCCGCGCGCACCATGGCGGGCACCATCCTCGCCCTCTCCGTGCTGGTGTTTGTGGTCATCGTGGGCGCCGTGGTGTCCGTCAAGTACGCCATCTTCCACGAGGTCAACACCGCTGACCTCACCGGCGGCGAGGTCAGCCCCACACCCTGCCAACCCACTCTATCTCCCACCACCCTCTCTGCCTGCTGCCTGCCTGCCTGCCTGCCTGCCTGCCTGCCTGCCTGCCTGCCTGCCTGCCTGCCTGCTGCCGGCCTGCCGGCCTGATCTGCCTCATCAATCCCAGTCTGCCTGGCAAGCTAGATCCCACACTCGCTCAATCCTCCCTGCCCTCGTCCTGCGCCCTCTGCCTCCTTCCTCTGTACACCTCTCCTCACTGCTCGCCTGTGCGCGGGGCCTCGCAGCTCACATTCTGGGTGACAGTGGCGGTGGTGTCAGTGGCAGTGGTGTGTACAACACGTTGAGCAGCAAGCGTACAGTGCAAACTGGCAAGCCATACGCCACACTCACTCAATCCTCCCTGTCCTCACCCTGTTTCCTCATGGCCGGGGGGCAGCTCACATTCTGGGTAACAGTGGCACTGGTGTCAGTGGCGGTGGTGGTGTACAACACGTTGAGCAGCAAGCGGTACAGCGACGGCAACGTGTATTTCACGGAGAAGAAGGCGTGGAGCCCAGCCATGAGCGCGCTCGTGCTCAACGCAGGGAAGCTCGACGAGGCCGCCCTCGCACTCTCCACGGAGCCCCTCGGTGCGCGCATACCTCATGCCGCAGGTCAAGGTGCGCATACCTCATGCCGCAGGTCAAGGTGCGCATACCTCATGCCGCAGGTCATACTTCCAGCCCAAACGCCATGCTCGCTCCCCTCCAGCGCCACCTCTTCTCTCCGCGCATCCCCCATCCCCTCAATCCTCCATTCCCCACACCCCATCCCCTCAATCCTCCATTCCCCACACGCCATGCCCTCGATCCTCCATTCCCCACACGCCATGCCCTCGTGCGCCAGACCATGCTCAATCCTCCATTCCCCACACCCCATCCCCTCAATCCTCCATTCCCCACACCCCATCCCCTCAATCCTCCATTCCCCACACGCCATGCCCTCGATCCTCCATTCCCCACACGCCCATGCCCGCGTGCGCCAGACCATGCTGACGCCCGACCCATGGCGCATGCTGCGCCCCTTCCCCGCCAAGACATGGCTGGTGTCGCTGGCCAACCTGTACAACAACTGCTGGGTGGCGCTGTGGACGGTGGTGCTGGCGGTGCCGTACATGATCCTGTGGCTGCTCAACTTCCTCCTCGTGCCCTACTTCTGCAACCAGCTGCTGCGCCTCTTCATCACCCTCGGCTTCGGCCTGCAGAAGGTAACCACCGCCCTGCCCCCGCCACCACGCATCCTGCGCCCTGCCCCGCCCCACGCATCCTGCGCCCTGCCCCGCCACCACGCATCCTGCGCCCGCCCCCGCCACCACGCATCCTGCGCCTGCCCCCGCCACCACGCATCCTGCGCCCTGCCCCCGCCACCACGCATCTGCGCCCTGCCACACGCATCCTGCGCCCTGCCCCCGCCACCACGCATCCTGCGCCCTGCCCTGCCAGCATGTGCACACATGCCAGTTTAAAGCTCAAAGCCCAAATTACGGGGCGCACAGGGCAAGATTACCAATCTTGCTCAACATCCGTTTTGGGTGCTGTATTCTGGCGAATTCTGGTTACAGTATGTATGAAGCAATTCTATTGGTCGAGGCCTAACACAGGGCTAAAACTTCAAGTTTCAGCTTTCTGCAATTTGGGACTCGAGATCTCAAACAGGCTACTGGCCCCAGAGTTTGCTGACTGGGCGAAAAAGCACCTGAGTGTTGCGAAATCAGACAACGCGTCCCTCCCAACACCTGCTCATCTTTCCCAAACCACCCAGCCTTCAGACTTGCGCAAGCTTACTGAACTTGTGCAATTTGGGCCGCGAGCTATAAGGGGCAAGGAAGGTCACTGCGGACTTGCTCTAGCTTTCTGCCATTCCACTTCTCTCCACCTTCTCACTATCAGTTTCTTCTCCTCACTGCACTGCACATGGCATGCTGTGGGTGTGTGTGCTGAATGGCATGACATGGCATTGGATGGCATGGCATGGCACGGCATGGCATGGCATGGGGCCACAGAACGAGTTGGACTGTGCGCAGGTGTACGTGGAGGAGTGGCTGCGGCTGCCCCCAGCGACGCACAGCATAGCGCATTGGAACGTGCAGAAGATCCTCACCGCCGCCACGCTCGACCAGCTCAAAGACCTCCGCAAGCGATGTCAGTCTCCCACCAACACAAACACCCCCCCCCTCCTCTTCCTCGCGGCCCCCACACTCGCGCCTTTGCCCTTCCCCCGCCCCTCCTACCACCCTCTGCTCTGCCACACCTTCCCCTGCGCTCACACCTTCCCCTGCGCTCACACCTTCCCCTGCGCTCACACCTCCAGCCGCTCACTTGACACTCCATCCGTCTCCATGCCCTGCCTTGCTGCCCCTCCCACTGCACTCTGCATGCACCCTCACCCCTTTCTTCCCCTCCTTTCTCCCCTTCTCCCCCCCTTCTCCTCTCCCCTCCGCTGTGTGTGGCATGGAGCAGCGGTGATACCAGGGGAGGCAGCGGCAACGGAGGAGGCGTTGATGGAGGCGCACACGCAGCTCGTGGACCCCCAACGCCATCGCGCAGCGCTGGCGCTTCCTCTGGGTAACTGCTGCCGCCCTGCATCCATGTGCCTTCATTCATGCCTTCTTTTCAAGTGTGCCCCAGAATGGGGGTGTGCATGTCACCTCATGCTCACTGCACTCAACCCCACCATTCTCACTGCTCCCGCCTCTTTCGTTATGTGCATGGCATGCATGGCAGGATGACGCGGAGTTTGGAGAGGAAGGCGGAGGAGTCGACGACACTGGCGCTGCTAAAGAACCAAGTCGATAAGATGGCACACAACCCCCGCATCTCCAGGTGACCCACCGTGCACCGCTGCGCACACACCTTCCTCACACGCTGCATGCACACACCCTTGCCACATCCCCCACCCATCTCACCCGCGCCTCTCGTGTTCCCTATCCCCCGTCCTCCTTGTCAACGCCCCTCCCTTTCCCCCGTGCAGAGTGGCATTCGAGCGGGAGTTGAAGGTGGTGTGTGTGACATTGGAGGAGCGGTACAAGGACATGACAGGCAACGTGGCTTCTCACGGTAGCTACTTCCGCAACCACGTCGTCATCGCCGTCATCGCGCACTTCCTGCCCACGGAGAGGTGCCCTCTTGG